TTCATTCTACAAATAACACCCAGTGTCTATGTGCCAGGCACTATATTAAGCAGCAGGGATTCAATGATGAAAAAATCAGATATGGTCCCTAGCCTCTAGGGCATCAACAGTTTAGTGCGAAGAGAGATATAACACCAAAAATTATATGTGATTTGGGCACATGGAAAGCAAATTAGTCTGGTGCATCAGGGAAGATTTCCCTGAGGAAGAGATTACATGGGAATTTCCCTGAGGAAGAACATGGGGGAGTTAAAGGGGGAGAGAACAGCAGGTAGGAAGGCTTTAAGGGGAGAAAAGAATGGGTTGTGTTGGAGGAACTATAAGAAGGTCTGCAGAGTTGGAGTACAGTCAAGTAGGGCAAGGGTGGTCTAGCTCATAAAGAGCAAGAAAAGCAGGAAGGGGCCAGATTATGCTGAGCTTTAATATATGGGCAGAATATAAAATGGACTGAGGGATGGAAAGTATGCATGAATACTGGAGACTACCCTAGAAGCCATTGTGGCAGTCCAGATGAAAGCTGGCGGTTGTTTGGACTAGAGTGGTGGCATTGGCAATAGAGAGAAATACACATATTTAAAAGATATTTAAGATATGGAATGAACATCACTTTGAAATTGATAGATGTGGAATCCGAGAGAGACACACACGTCAGGGATGACTCCTAGATTTCTGGCTAGAACTGGGTGAGTAGTGGTGTCATTTTCTGAGGTAGAGAATACTGATAAAGTAGGTTTGATGATGGGGGAAGGTGAGTTGAGCTTTAGGATTGGCTGTGTTCAAGTTGCTTATGAAATATCCAAGGGAGATGTCCAGTAAAAGGATATAAAGGTAGAATTTTGGAAGAGTTCAGGAAAGAAGTGTCCAACTCTATCATTAGCCTGGTGAATGGCTGGGAGAGCCTAAACCCTGAGAATCTCTAACAAGTTGAGAAGAAACTGGCAAATAAGAAAGAGTGGTCAGTGAAGTACTAGGAAAACTAGGTGTCACATCAATTAAGGAAGAGTGGTTTGAAAAGGAGGGTTTAATGTTGCTAGGAAGACTAGTCAAATAAGAACCGTAAGTGATCTTATTGAGAAGTTTTTGTACAGTGGTGGGAGCAGAATCTAGATTAAAGTGGTTTGAGAAGTGGGAGGGAGGTGAGAAATTGTGACACTTTAGATTTGGCTGTTAAAGAGGAGGAAAGCAAAAGGTCAATATCTAGAGGGAGACATGAGGTTATGCTTTTATTTATTTTTAAAGATGGAGAGATTTAATACATCTATACATCCAGGTGCTATTGGAAAGGAGCCAGCAGAGAAGAGTGGAGATGATGACGATGGTGTGTGTGTGTGTACGTGTGTGTGTGTGTGCCGTTTGCACAAGGTCCTGTGTACAGGTTAAGGGATTAGCCTTTTCCTTATGAGAGTCACTGCAATAGGAGTGGAGAATGCTCAAAAGTGGTATAGATACAGGTAGGTTCATAGATTTGGAGTCAGGAACGTTGAAGGGGTACATGGTAGTTCCTGTTTTCTTTCTGAAGTTGCAGAGTGCAGGAGGTAAGGGCTTTGCAGGCTTATGGAATGTAGACTGAGGTGGCAGCAGTGGAGAGCCAGAGTGTGAGCTGGCTGGGGAAGCACAGTCCAGTGCAGAAAACTTTGACCCAGCTTGTGTCATGGGGAGAGGGTTCCAAACAGGTTTCTTCGTTTGGGTATCCAGAAGGAAAAGAGGCACAAAGTAATCCTTCTCTCTTGTCTTTTAGCACAAACCACAGGATCTAATTATTTTCTTCTAGTTTCCTGATAACTCTTCCTACTGCTGACACTGAAGTTGGCTTCCATTTCCTTTGACACTCTGACATGTTAGCTTTTCCCTACGTAAGAAAACTTCATTTACATGCATTTAGCACCAGATTTTTCCTTAGTGGAATTTCTTTTGTCTCATTTTCCCCACTTGCGTACAGAGTGCTCCATCTTTGCTTAGTTTTATTTGTTGGTTTTTTAAAAAAATTTTGTTTACATTTATTCATTTTTGAGAGACAGAGAACAAGCGGGGGAGAGGCAGAGAGAGAGGGAGACAGAATCAGAAGCAGGCTCCAGGCTCTGAGCCGTCAGCACAGAGCCCCACGCGGGGCTCAAACTCACAAACCACAAAATCATGACCTGAGCCAAAGTCGGACGCTTAACCGACTGAGCCACCCAGGCGCCCCTTTGCTCAGTTTTACTTGTATAAAATGAAATTCCTTTAAGCTCTTTTTTATGAGATACCCAAGGCTGCTGCTCTCTTTCTACTTCCCATCTTTCATATGCATGGAATGTGAAAGGAAGTACAATGTAGGGCTTTTAAAATGCATTAGATCGGTAGATCAATGTCAGGAGCTGATCCAAACATGACCTAACATATAAAGCAAAGCCAGTTATATAGGTTCTGCTACCCAGCAGTTAATTGAGATGACAATTTGTCAATATTGCTGTCTGTAATATACCAGCTGAATTTATGAAATGTGTAAAGTGAGAGATTACTTAAAATGTTCAAGTAAGGAGTTCTGGTCACTCTCAATCATGTGACTGAACTTCTCTGAGTTTGTTTCTTATCTATGACTAGAATAATGATACCTGGCAAAACATGACAATTAAGTGAGATTATATAATTATAATATCTAGTAACATAAAGTAACTTGTACATTATAAAGTGATAGGAAGATTAGTTGTTGCCATTTACAATCCTTGACTAAGTTTTTAACTATCAGGCCATTTTTTATACAGCTGTTTAGTTACAATATAACTAAGTTTTCAGGTGCACCTGGTTGGCTCATTTGGTGGGAGTGTGTGACTCTTTAATCTCAGGGTTGTGAGTTTGAGCCCCACATTGGGTGTAGAGATTACTTAAATAAAATCTTAAAAAAACAACTAATTTTTTAAACTTGTTGCTAGACTTAAAATGGAACTCGGTAGTGAGATAGATGGCAATAGGTTTATTTTAGTGTCTACTGTATGCTTTACCTATAATATTGAATCCTTATAGCACTTGCTTAAACACACTACTACTTTCATTTTGCAAATGAGGCTACTTAACCTTTTTTTTTTTTAAGTTTATTTATTTGTGAGAGAGAGTGAGAGAGAGAAAGAGTGCAAGTGGGGGAAAGGGGCAGAGGGAGAAAGAGAGTATCCCAAGCAGGTTCCACACTAAGGCTTGATTTCAAGAGTTGAAATCAAGAGTTGGCTGCTTACCAGACTGAGCCACCCAAGCACCCCAAGGCTACTCAATCTTAAACCTGCCTGAGGCTATACATTTATAACAGATGGGGCTTGAATTTGATTAAAACACTCATGTTCTTTCCCATGAGCACAGCATGTAAATTTTTGTATTTTCTCCTTTTCTATTTTAAGTGATGGAAGAAAAAAACTTCAGTATCAGTAGATAACCAAGACTAAGAAATTCTACTTTGTCATTTTAATGAAATATGTTTTATTAAAACATATGGTTAATATGGAGATAGTAAAATTTACAGTAAGAATAATAAGGTATTCTGATTATATCAAAAATATAATCCACTTGTGGTTTTTTCATTATTCTGATCCAGTTAGGACTAGTGTTTAGGAACTTTAACAGCCATCTAACAAAAGAGGAGAAATATTTATGATTTGAACGGGATTAAATATCTGTATTAATATATTACCTGTATTAATATTAATCTGTATTAATATATTATCACTGTATACCTAAAACTAATGTAACATTATGTGTCAGCTATACTCAAATAAAAAAAAAGCCCATTGATAGTTTTTTATTTTTGACCACCATCTATAGCTGGGTTTATAAGTGGTAACTTTTCTAAATTCCAAGAGACATGGGTTGGGCAAGTATGAATATACTTTTGGAGCAATACATCAGGGTATTTGAAAGCAGGGAAGTTCAGTGTAACAATTGCTCAATCCAGTTCTAAAAATCTTGCTTTCCTTTTGAATATCTTGAAGCTGCGTTTTGCAGACTGGATTCTTTTGGCTCTGAGAAAAGGAAACAATACCACAAAAGATCTTTTCCCTATTTTGTATCACATAGCATCAATGGTGTATGGTCAAGCAAGTACATGACCTATGGCTATTAAAGTATCTAGTGAAATGTTACAAGTCAACTCTTAAAGTCTCCTGTCATTTATAATGCTAATACTTAAAAATGCCATACTCAAAAGTTTTATAGAAGACTAACTTGTGGCACAGTCCAATCACGTTATTCATTTGGAAAAGGAGACCTTAGATTTTTTTTTTTTTAAGACTTTACTAGTTTAGTTCAAAATGTAATTTATTTCTGGTATGACTTTTAGGGAGTCAGGAAAGATTGCTCTCATATGTATTAACTTATAAGAGGGAGACAATCTGACATTTAAACAGACATACTTTGCATTATAGAAACAACTTTTCCCAGAGAGCATTTGCCTTTTTCATAGTCTAGACTAGATACCTAAGTCAACAGTAACTAAAATAATATTGTCTTCTTATCTTTATCTACAATCATGGCTTCAGCATTCCATGTCACTTCTCTTACTCCCCTTCCCTCCCTATTTCACCTCTATGGCTGATTGCCAGTTCCTAATCTTTTTTTTTTTTTTTTTTTGCCTGTTCCCATCTTCATTAGGTCTCCTTTTTATCCAAAACATACTGACTTGAAATGGAAACTTTTTCTGTAGCTTTCTCAGACTTTCAGTTTCAACTCATGTTCACTTGGGCCTGCTATGTAACCTGTATTACTTACACTGTGGTTTCCCCCCACTCCCCTGACTAAAAAGAATGGAGTTACTGCCTTTGTGGTTACTGAGTGGTGAGATTATTTTGGGCTATGAGGGCTGGGGGCAAGGTTAGGTTGGGGAGGGAGGTGAAATAAATTTCACAGCTGAAACTAATCTTTGGTTTTTAAGTCTCGTAAGCACTGCAATCTAGTTTTCATTAGGAATAGAATTAATGTGTGTACCCAACATATCGGGTTGTTAATTATTTGAAACAACTCAGAAAAAAACACATCAATGATTTAGGAGGGATAGCATTTCTTTTTATTCTTGGTTCCATATTTTAAAAATTACATTGTCTGCATTTTGAATTAAGTGAAAGGGTTGAGAAAGCTCACTTTATCTGCTTTATAACTGCAAAAAAACAAAAAACAAAAAACAAGCCAACTTTCAGTTTGCAAGTTTCAGATATGATAATAGTCCTGAAATCACCATGGTTGAAAACAATTCTGCCAGATTATGGATAAAGAGGAAAGGAAAAACTATGACTATTAGAAAGCAGCAATATTTATTAGAAATAACAGGCAACCTTGGGAAGTTATTGGCTATGAGTTTTAAAACCACAGAACTTTGGATATAAAAGGAAGGAGTGTTGCATGGCTAACAGACAAGGTGAAGAAAAGCTGTTATCAATGCAGAGTAGCAAGTCAACCCATTCACTGAGCAAACTAAAAGGTCCAACAGCCATTTATTTTAATGAAGTTAAAGATTCCCCCTTTCTTAAAACACTCCAGGAATAGAGTGGGGGAAGATGGGCTAACATCATCTTTATCAAATATCTGCAAAGGTTACAAAGATAGGTGGGAAAGCCTCTGCACGGAGAATGGAAGAGGTATCACAGAACTGAATAACTGATTCTTAGAATATTTAGATCTTGAATTAGGTTAGATCTTGACCTGCTTCTAGCCAGTTGATCTCTTTAAATATGCAGGGCTGTGCAATAAGTTTTTGATTCTTCTATAATGTTCTTCTTGCATTCTTCTGGATATGACATACACTTGGTTTCTTTAAAGATCACTGCTTTTCCTTTGAATAAGCCAATGGGAATAAGGGAGACAAAAAGGGAAATAATAAATGTTCAGTGTGGTTTTAAGGTTTTGATGCATAACTTCAAGACATTTTCACAGAGCATATTGCTCTCAAGTTAGGGTTAAAGTGAAACTTTCCATGTGGATAATGCAGAAGATGACATTCTTCCAGGAAAAAATAAGATACCAGGCATCTTCTTTCAGGCACTGAGATTACAGCCATCCAATAGATGGGGATGGGCAGAAAGAGGAGACTTCAACAGCCGCAAATATTCTTTGATAGCTAATTTTTGGCAAGTCTGGCAATGAGATCTTTCCATTCCCCCCTTTTCTTTGTGATGTATGTAGGAGTGAGTAGCTGCAGTAGTGATTCTGGTTTTTGCCTAAAGAAGTTCTGACACAAGGCCTCAGTGTTACATATCACATACATCCCACAGTCATAGCTGTTTTGTTGAGCAGGGGCTCTCTCTTCCACAAAGGCTAGTTTGTCTCCTTTTCTGCGTAAGAAAGCCTCCAGTTTCTCTGCTACCTGCTTTGCATGAACTGAGTTGCTTCTGCTATGGGAATCATAATGAAGAAAGCTATTTTTATCTTGGACATAAACCAACAAACTCCAATGGGTTCCCCCAGCTGCCTCATTGGAATTATCATTGATGGCTAAAAATACAACTCTCTTGTTGGGGAGGTCTAGGGGTTCAAGGAACATGGCAATCTCTGCTTGGTTGCTAGTGCACTTGATGAACTGGGTAACTTCGGGACTGATGAAGCAGACATGGTCAGAGCAGTCATGAAACTGACTGTTGGCAAAGTACTCAAAGGCAAATCCAATAATATGGTCATTGAGCCAGCTTGGAGGATCCAACAGCGAGACATCTGATTGCCGCAGTAGACTGTCCATGTAACTCAAAACTACAGGGTCCATCTTGTCCTGACCAGGGCTGATCAGAAATTCCAGTAGCTGAAGGAGAGGCAGAAGATAATATTTACTGCTGAATATGATACCTTGCTGTAAAATGGGGATCATAAATAGTAGCTACTCTTACAGGTTTTTTTAAAGATTAAATATAATTGTAAAGTTTTTAGCAATAATGCCTGCCTGAGAGTAAACATTCAACAGACTCTAGCTTCCGGATTGTGTGTTAACAATTAGTTAAAATGAAAACTTTGGAAAATTTTCATGCTGAAACAGTAAGCATGAATTTTTATCTTCCTCTTTAAATGCAGAGATTGGTTAAAATTATAACAGACATTTATCAAACTTCCTACCATTAACCCTATATTTGGTCCTTTAGTGAATATGCATGATAACAATGGCAAGTTATTTTTACATTAAAGTGAATTTTCAAAGAGTCTGAAGAAAAATGTTGCTTATTAACAAGGGAAATAGCTTCCATTTCAACATTTATTTTTGAGATAAGATAAAAATATTGCTTCCTCATTCCATAATGGAAAGTGACAGTGATTAGAGCTGTAGTTAAAAGGAACTACAGGGGTGCCTGGATGGCTCAGTCGGTTAAGCGTCTAACTTTGGCTCAGGTCATGATCTCATAGTTCATGGGTTTGAGCCCTGCGTCGGACTCTGCACTAAGAGCTCAGAGCCTGGAGCCTGCTTCAGGTTCTGTGTCTCCCTCTCTCTGTCTGTCCTTTCCCTGCTTGTGCTTTCTGTCTCTTTCAAAAATAAATAAATAAACTTGAAAAAAAGATAAATGAAAGAACATTTCAAGAACAGAAAATCATGAGTTTTACAAATGAAAATCATTCCTGATTCTGCTCAGTTTTGAGTATGAGTGATCTAGTTTTCCTCATCCATTTCTCATCTTTAACTTCAAGGGGTAAGATAAAGATTATGTAATGTTTATAAGTTAGAAATTTTTATCATTGAAAGGTAGTTAGGCACAGGAATCAGGAGACCTGGATCTAGCCCTAGTTTTATCACAAAATTTAAATGATTTTGTCTTTGCTTTGTTGTCTGTAAAAAGGGCATATATCTGCTTACATGCCTCAGTGAGTTGCAGAAAGGCCAAATAATTTTACTTGAAGTTATTAAAAGAATATAAAATGTTGTTCCAATAGCATTTATATTATTAATTAAATGGTATTAGTAAGATGATCAGAACATCTACATAGCGCTCCACACCAGTGAAAGCAAATGAAGTTTGGAAGCAAATATCTCTTCATATTATCTTTTCCAAACAAAAGCATGACTAACTTAGAGTACAGCAACACAAAGTATATGATAAGATTAATATGCTCATGATCACCGAAGGTAAGGTGCTAACAAAGACAAGAAGTCTGATAAATGTGCAAGATAACATAATATTTAAGCCAGAGAGAGTTAACTGCTATGCATTGACCTGACAGCATTACAACATCACTAAAAATCCAAAGCAATAAACGGTCACATGCAGATTGAGAGTATAAAACAAAGCATATTATAATAATATCATTTCTGTGAAAGACTGGGCTAGAATAATCAATTAATTCTAGCCATTAATAATCAATTCTGGCCATCAGACCAGGTATTTTACCATTTGATTACACTACTAAAATAATAAAATTTTGTGGCACAGACATTTTTCTGTAATCAAGTCTGAAAAACCTGTAAGAAAAAATAAATATACCCCTCAAGAAAAAAGACCCTAACGTAAGTGAGGTAATTAAGAAGCACCAAAGATGGTTTTATGTGCATATAGTATATAATAATCTGAACTATTTCAGAAACAATATAGGGCTGTTTATGAGAAATATATGTATATACACATACATATTAATATAAATATACAACATAAGATCGAATGAAAATATCTTAAGATTTTCTTTTCTTTAAAAAAAAGGTTTTTTAAAAATGTTTATTTATTTTTGAGAGAGAGACAGAGTGCAAGTGGGGGAGGGGCAGAGAGAGGAGACACAGAATCCAAAGCAGGGTCCAGGCTCTGAGCTGTCAACACACAGCCAGATGCAGGGCTCAAACCCATGAACCATGAGATCATGCCCTGAGCTGAAGTTGGATGTTTAACCGACTGAGCCACCCAGGTGCCCCAAATCTTAAGATTTTCTTAAGAAAAGAGAATAACTTCAGGAGAGACATAAACTAGAGCCTGGAACAAAGTTTAACGAGGCATAGAGCACATTTGCTATGGGTGGGCCACAAATTTGGCTCTAAGATTTTTGGCAGCTAACCAGAGACTATAAAGTTAAACATTCACAATGTCCGTAAGGTAAAAACAAAGCAACTGCTCAGGAGAGGTAAAAGCATTCTTTGTATTAAGGTTAGGCAGTTTTTTTTTCAAGCAATTTTCATAAAAGACAAGGTGTATCATAATGAATAATGTCCCTCAATATTCTTATGATAGATGAAGTTGTTTCTTATAACGATCCTTCATATCCAGTCTGATGGCAAATGAATTAACAGCAGTCTAGTAAAAACAAGTCTATGGAGGCTAGGTTCTCAGCTTGCTGCTGATGTGACTTAAGAGTAAATTAATATGAAAATGGAATGACTGCTTGTGCATCAAGCAAAGCTCCCCCAATCTCTTCCCCCTGCTCTCAATGAATACTATGTAGTGGTGAGTACCAGATTTTACTGCCTGGCAAATACCTGGAGACCTACTCTCTACACTGAAATCAGGCCCACATATTAATAGCCAACCCAACTAGGGATAGAAGCCTACAAGGAGAAGAGTTCCTGAAAAGACAGGCATCTCACCTTGGAAGGAGTGACATAAGTGGCCAAGATTTCCTTCAGAATATATAGTTCTTTTTTTTTTAAGGGCTTAATACTTTTTTTTAAGGTTTATTATTTATTTTTGAGAGAGATAGAAACAGCACAAGTGGAGGAGGGGCAGAGAGAGAGGGAGACACAGCATCTGAAGCAGGCTCCAGGCTCTGAGGTGTCAGCACAGAGCCCAACACGGGACTTGAACCCACAAACTGTAAGATCATGACCTGAGCTGAAGTCAGACGCTTAACTGACTGAGCCACCCAGGCACCCTCAGAAAATGGTTTTAGTGTTCTGTTTGATTTTGAAAATATCCAACATCCAGACAATGGGTCAGTCAAGGATCTAGGTCTATTCCACCCAGCATGGTAGCAATAGTTTAACCCCAACAATTCTAAAGCAAATGGAACCAAAGGAGCCTTTGGCCAAAGCATTGTTAGCAAAGAAAAACTCTAAACTTAGCATCTGAAGACTTGAATTTTAGACTCAATTCTGTTACTCATTGGCCGTATGATCATAAATAAACTACTCAATTTCTTTAAGCCTCAGTATCCTCTTCTGTAAAGTGAGAATATTAATACATGACCTTTATCCTGGAGTATTTGTCAATATAAAATGAAGAAACATTGGTAACTAATATTTCATTTTAAAAAAAAAAATTTTTTTTTTCCAACGTTTATTTATTTTTGGGACAGAGAGAGACAGAGCATGAACGGGGGAGGGTCAGAGAGAGAGGGAGACACAGAATCGGAAACAGGCTCCAGGCTCTGAGCCATCAGCCCAGAGCCCGACGCGGGGCTTGAACTCACGGACCGCGAGATCGTGACCTGGCTGAAGTCGGACGCTTGACCGACTGCGCCACCCAGGCGCCCTAAGTAACTAATATTTTAAAAAATATAACATAAAGTAGTATTTCCAGGCATCTATTGTGTCTCAAGGAAATTTATATCCCAATAACTGATAACTGTGATGTATTTCATTTAACAAATGTATACTGAGTGTTTCCTTTGTGCTAGGGGTTGAAAATACAGAATGGGAATGAAATAGTCATAGTTCCTACCCTGAATGAGCATAAGCCTATTATGTTATAATGAATAAATAGTGAATATACAATTCTTTTTACTCAATAAGCACCTACTGAGTACCTAATAGCTGTTGTGGGAGATACCAAGATGTATAAGATGGCTTATAGTCAATAAGATCAGAAACCCACTAGGGGCAGAAATAAAATGTATGGGAATTCAGAAGAGTGAACAATCACCTCTGGCTAAGAAAGGGAAGGAGACTTGAGATCAGGAAAGACTTCCAGGAAAAAGTGGCATAAAAGCTGGCTCTTGAAAGGCATATAGAATTAGATGCATGGAGAAGGGCATTAAGAAGGTAAGAGAGGCAAGGGAAGTGCCCCTAGAGGCTCATTCCAGTCTGGCTGGAATGAAGTAGGAATAGGGGTACAGATGAAGGTCAGAGGAAAATTATTAGAAGCTAAATGGTAACAGACTGAAGTCCAGGTGAAAGAATTTGGAATTTATACTGAGGAAATGGGAATCCATTAATGGCAAGGCTGGTGCTTTAGGAAGTTTAATAATTCAGCCATAGTACATAGGATTAATTGGTAGGGAGAGCAACTGGAGGAAGAGATCAAGTAGATTTTTATTGAAAGTGAAAGTAGGAGGAAATGGCCTAAATCAGGGGAAATGGTAGAAATGGGGAGGCAAGGAGGAAAGGTATTGTAGACAGAGACTCAATAAGTGATTAGAGAACAGTTGGGTAAAAGAGAATCATTAGGAAATTGTCTGTGGGTTTTAGTTAGGGTGACCATAAAGGACGACGATCCCATTACTAATGGGGTGGGGGAAAAGGAGACAGAAGGGGATCCAGCAAAAGAACCAAGAACCATCTAGAACTCTCCTAGGGATATTTCCTTTCTATACAGGGAGCACTGTGCTTGGCACATCTGAGGTACAATAAATATTTGCCAGATGAATGAAACATTTCAAAAAAGGAATCAGAAAATATAGATTAGGGGTAAAAAGAGAAATAAGTCCTCTTAAGACGTTTGCATTGTTTGTAACATCCCCCTTTCTGCTTTGGTTTTGTGTTTTGTCTTTTCTCCTCTTCACTTAATAGTAAACTCCTTCAGAAATAAGATGACTTATGTACTTGGCCTTGGTGGATGGTAAGGAAAACCGAAGAGTGAACTGGGGAGACAATAACCTCCTCATAGTTCTATTTGTAAAGTTCTACAAAATATATTTTAGTTCTACGTTTTGGGGCTAGGAGGCTTTGGGTCCAGGCTCTACTTTGCCACTTGCCTATCTGTGTGAATCTGGGCAAGTTATTTATTCTCTTTCTGGGCCTCATTTTCCTCATCTGTAAAATGAGGTAATAATAACACCTGCCTCATAGACTGTTACACAAAATAAAAACATGAGTGAAAACACTCAGCATGTCATCTGACATATATAGCGGACTCAAAAAGAGTTGTCTTCCCTGCTCCCTATATTTGGGGTGGTAATAATGGGCCTTAGAGATTTCTTGAAAATAAAGCACATCTGTCTTTTTTATAAGGCCACAAAGTCATCAAAAATAGATTTAGCTAGGGCATGACTCTGCTCTGTGCTTTACCTTTGGCAGAAGAAGGGTGAATGCTAACTCCAGAGAAAATTGTTCTCTCGACCTGAGTGGAGCAATGATGTTAATTGTGTATTGTCAGTATACACAAACCCTGCAGTAACAGTTTATAACATCTTCCAACTTCTGTAGCTAAATGAAGCTAATATTGAATTCATAGTATAGAACAGTTCCTAAACGAAGGCTTAATTTTAGCAAAAGGAAGAGACTACTTTTTCATCTTAATCTTGAAATCCTTAAAATGTATATTACTGGAATATTTGTTGTAAAAAACAACAAGATAATTACATAAAAGGTAATAAAAACTACCTTAAAGGGAAAATTTACAATTCAATGGAAGCCAATCTGATACAAGTAAGGGAAGAAGCTGCTGGTTCAGTAGAAAACCAATAGGTTGGGAGTCAGTTTCAATGAACTGTGTTCTAAAAGAGTGCTGTCCAATAGTACTTTTGATGATAATGGAAATGTTCCTTATTGGCAATGTCCAATACAGTAGTCACTTGCTACATGTGGCTACTGAGCACTTGAAATGTGGCTCATAAGACTGTGGAACTGAATATTTAATTTTTAATTAATTTAAACTTAAATTTAAATATCTACATGTGGCTATTGGCTACTATTTTGGACAGTACACTTCCACAGATTTCAAAGGTATTTCTTGAAAGAAAAAAAATAAGATTATATGGTTAAATAAGTTAGGGAAATGCTTCATCCTAAAAGTCCTCATTGGAGGTTCATAATGCACACAATCATATTAGAGACTAGAAGTTTTGTAATAAGGAAATGTAACTTTTCTTGGTCTTATTTTTTCCCCCAAACTCATTTGACCACGAGACACTTTTTTTTTCCTTTTAAACAGAATATCTATTAACACCTTATTGGCTGTGCAGTGAAGTTTGGGACGTGCTTGCTGAGTTACTTAATAAATGGCAGTGAGGCAACATGTTAATCATTTGATAAAAAAAAAAAAAAAGAAGTTAGATCTCCGCCTCATACCTTATATGAACTCATATTTTAAGTGGAATAACATTTAAATGTTAAGAAAAGAAACAAAAATATTAGAAGAAAATGGAGCTTAATACACTTATGCGGCCAATAAATGCATGAAAAGATACTCAACACTTTACTAGTAATCAAAGGAATTCAAGTTAAAGCAAGATTTAATTTTTTACCTATCAAATTAGCAAAGATGAGGAAAACAGGTAATAACTAGCATTGCTGAGAGACCATGGGAAAAACAAGCATTCTCATTGTTGACAGGAGTATATAAACATATGCAAGCTTTTTGAAGGGTAATTTGCCATTATATTTTAATTCTTAAGAAATGTCTGTGTGAAGGTATGACACTTTCAGAAATTTATCTTAAGGGAAATATTAAGGATGTGTGCAAAAATTTATGAAGGATGTTCATCACAGCAATATTTATAAAAGAAAAACTGAAACAATCTGAAAGTTCAAAAGAGGACTGATTAATTTAAATAATAGATTTTCATACAATGAAATATTTTCAGTCATTAAAAAATAAAGTTGTAGATACCAATGTATTGACATGGAAATATGTTTATGATATGCTACAAAAAGGAAGTTTATATAAAAATTTATACAAGAAAAATATACACGAAAAAAATCAAGAATGATAGCCAAAGTTTAAATATAGTTTTAAAAAGAGAATTATTAATGCTTCTTAACACTTTTTTCCTTCTACCTTTTAATACTGTTTGCTTTATATTTTTCCCCTTTCTTTTTATAATAAGCATATAACCAATAAATATAGCTATTTCCATTCAGGAAAAAAAAGGATATACCATCTCCCACTCTTACACTGACCTAAAATATGTCTGTTCTTTCAACTCGCTGGTCTCTTCTGTCCTCTGGAAAGAAAAGAAAAAACAAAACAGAGAAAGTCTAATATCTCTTCTATAAATATTCAAACACAAAGATGTAAAATTAATCTATTTACTAAAATTAGATTATGTCCAACTTCTAATGTATGATTCCATTTGCAATTTCACAAAAAGAATCAAATCCAAAGACCAAATGTGCTTTTCATGGCAGCATAAGCAGAAATATTTTCAGGAAGGAAGTTCAAACTTTTTTTTTTTGGTTTCAATTTCCCCCTATTAAACGTTTCCTTTTAATGCTAGCCTAAACCTAAATATATGTATAAAGTAGAATGTAAAAATTACCATCAAGATTTATATATCCCTCTTGAGGGCAGAAATTATTAGATTTTATGCATCCCCGTTTCTTTAGTGCTTGACAAACTGGAGAAAATTTAATAAATGTTTCTCCTGAATAAAATATAGAAGTAAAATACATTTTGAAAAACTCCTAAAAACACAAAATTGTTATAAACAGGAAGATTTCTCAATTGTATAAATTATTTATAAATTGAACAATATTCCTCTTGACATCAATATTTTACAAATAGAGGAATTCAGCTCTCAAAGTAGAAAAACTACTTGGTATGATGATGATGCCTGTTAACTCTCCTACCAGAATACTTAACTTTAAAGTATTTTAAGTATAAATTCCATTTGGTCCTGCCTTGGGCCAGGAAGATAAACTAGAAGACTTTCTAGAATTTCTTCTAGCACCAAGGTTCTCTATTTACTGTTCTGTTACTAGGCATGGCTATCAATGGCTAAGATGTCATTGACCATGAAAATAATTTTATTTTCAGTCTACTGTTTCTAACTCAAAGGTTCCATTTCTAATTGTACTACAATTTTTTTCCTTACTATAAACTTGATGTAAACACCAGCCTTTCCTTAAGCTGTGTTTTGCTTAAAATCTTCCGAGAAATGACTTTGTACAAATGCAAAATTTGAAATACCTGGGGTTGTAAAGACAGTGTGTAGGGAGGCCAAGAGGTTGAATGAGGGGTTTGAGTAAGATAACATTTTATGAAGGAGTGGACAGAATTTTATCATACGTATAAACAAATTAAAGCTAATAAGGTGTGATCAAGCTGAAGTTACGATGTGCCTGATTTCATAAATAACCACTGTGTTCAGCACACAATAGCTATATGCAGACACAGTTTGAAAGAGTATGAAAAACTCATCAAGTTTTAATCTTATTTGTCCTGTAGATTTCAAAGCCTGGTAAAGTATTTTTTTTCATAGATAGTTAAGAGGTAAATTGTTATTACAAACTCCTAATTAATGAGTTTCAAAAATGTGCTTGGCACATAGTAGGGGCTCAATGAAAGTTTTTAAAAGTTTTTTTATATATTGCTCAGAGACAGAGCAAGTGGGGGAGGGGCAGAGAGTGAGAGAAAGAATCCCAAGCAGGCTCCACAACTGCTAGTGCAGAGCCTGACTTGGGGCTGGAACCCACGAGGCTGAGAGATCATGACCTGAGCTGAAACCAAGAGTCAGCTTGGTTAACTGACTGAGCCACTCAGGGGTTCAATAAATAATGAATGAATGAAAAAATAATGAATTTATGTTTTACTGTATTGTGCTGATAGGAAAGCAGGATCTGAAGGGATCCAATAACACATAGAGAATTTTCTGTCTTAGCAATTTGTCTTTAAATGTTAATTAATACAAAATATTTGTGAACTACCTAACCAAATTTTAATTATATGCTATTAAGTAGGGCTAAACATTTCCAGCAACTATTTATTTTAGCTGCTAATGTAAAGTACCAAGTTGCTACAACAAATAGTAGTGAGAAAATTAGAGCCAACTAAGGTCAGAAATCTCCAAGCCATTGCTTTGATGGAGGACTTGAACCTACCACTCTACTATGAGAGAGTATTTATTTACTCACTGGCCATAAGGGAAGGAAGTCCTCAAGTTTTTTAACCTGTAATTTAGACGCTCGAAAATAATAATTGTAAATGGGACAATTTTTTTCAGTATCAGGACTGTGTTTGGTGCTTTCATAACAGATAAAGGTGTGGAAGGGGTAGTAGTCACTTAATCAGAAGCCAGAGAAAGGAAATTTCCGAGATCTTTTGTAATAAAAATTCTTAAAAAGCTTCAAAAATTTCCAGTATTCTTTCTGCTTTCAGATAGACCTGTTTCCTGGTTCCCCTAAAAAGGAGACAGACAGATGAACCTTAGCCTCTACATAAACTTGATTTTCAGCCTGTTAAACCATATCACTGTCCAAATGTTCTCCAAAAGTTAGACGGACAAGATCAATACAGCTAGTCATGCTGAAGAAAGTAGTCTCTCAGAGAATCTGGTTCAGAAAGTTAACTTCACATTACTTATTTGGATTAGTAATATTTGGACCCCATAATTAATTTTTTGAATATATTTTAAAAAGCACACAAGTTGGGGACTAGCTGGAATCTGGGCAGTAAATTTCACATAGTTTGGTATTGATCAATTTCTTTTTTTTTTTCTTTTTTCAACGTTTATTTATTTTTGGGACAGAGAGAGACAGAGCATGAACGGGGGAGGGGCAGAGAGAGAGGGAGACACAGAATCGGAAACAGGCTCCAGGCTCTGAGCCATCAGCCCAGAGCCCGACGCGGGGCTCGAACTCACGGACCGCGAGATCGTGACCTGGCTGAAGTCGGACGCTTAACCGACTGCGCCACCCAGGCGCCCCAAGTTTGGTATTGATCAATTTCTAATGAGACAGGTTATCTGGGCTTCAAGGACTTCCTTCTTGTTTGCTAATGCATTTTACTCATCCAAGAGGTTTAAGGGATTGACAAGGAGAGAGAAATCTTGACCTTAAAAAGTCAGAAACGTAGGATTTAACACGTGTAGATGGAATTTAAGAAAGGCCTTAGCAACACCTGGGAACCTATATATGTGGTAAAGCCACTGCCTATCAAAAGTACTAACATTATCACTTATAATACAAAAGAATGGGCTGGCCTCTTGACATGTAAAATGCTAATGGACCTCCACACTGGTAAACACATCTCTGTAGAAAGGTATGTAATTTAGTTCAATCTATGTTTCTTTAGACTGGTCAGTCACACTGGGGAAACAAAGTAACTTAACAGACCCTTTAGAGATCACTTTATAGTAAAATTTAGTTAAAGATTATTTATTGGTCTAGTCTCTTCATTCCTATCTTCTGACAATCCAACCTACACATTACTTCTAGATTAATTTTTCAAACAGAACTCTAATAATTACATTATTCTACTCCAAAGATTTTAACATCTCTCCATTATCTACCAAATTAAGTACAAATTACATCTTGACATTCAATGATTTCCACAAAAAGAGCCCCAGCCTATCTTTCCCAATTTATTTCCTAGTACTGCTCCTACATACATAGGCACAAGTACAGTACTCTAACAGGCCCAAATTATTAGGCAACAGTGGATTAATTAGTACTGGTTGCTGCCCCTACCGTATAAGAGGAGAAGAAAATAGCCAGTTCCCTACTTCCACAGAGAGGCTGGGAAGTGAAAACTACTCTAGTATTTTTCTGAAACAGAGAAGTGATCTATCATGCTCTTGTTTAAAAAAACTATTACAGTCAGCTTTTTATAAATCTAGGGTCCATGGGCCAGGATGCAGCTAGAATTAGGGTTCCATGAACTTGGACTGGGAAAAAAATTGCATTCTGGATTTTTAATAATCTCTAGCTGAAATTTAGCATTTTCTTCAATAAGTATAGGCAATAATCCACAGCAGTATTAGCAGTCCCTATGTCTTTGTCACCAATAGAAATATGATATTTTAATATCACATTGAAGTTACGAGTATCTCAAAATATAATTTATATGCATCACTATTTTGAAATTACATAATTAGGCCTGCTGCCAGATATTATTTAATGCATAAAGAAGCACATATGTAACTACATCATACAGTTGTTTGAATATTCTAAAACTTCCAATAAAATTGATTTTATTTCTATGCATTTTATTTTGTATATTTAAAAATATTATTCTGAGATAGGGTTCATAGGCCAGGCTGCCAAAGAAGTCTGTGGTGTAAAAAAGGTTATTTTATCTTTGTTTTTTATACCTATTAATTGCTTATAGTAGATTATCTAAACACTTTAGCATGGAATTCAAGGCTCTTCATAATCTATTCACACCCACTTTATCGCCTTTATCTCTGCCCCACCCCTACTCTCCATATTAAGCCCTAGTCATACCAGACAACAGTAACTGTCTTTTATCTGGAGGCAGATAGACTGGTTTTTGAATTAGCCCTAGTTAATAGTCAGTAGCCTTGCACTCACTGGCTTTGGCATTGCCTTATACAGACCTCTCTGCTTGCCAAGGGAATTATTCTTTTTAAAGGTTTGTTTTCCCTAATACTATGAGGCCTTAATAGGGCTATATCTTTAAAATTTTTTAATTTTTTTTTTCTTTTTGAGACAGAGAGAGACAGAGCATGAGTAGGGGAGGGGCAGAGAGAGAGGGAGACACAGAATCCGGAGCAGGCTCCAGGCTCCGAGCTGTCAGCACAGAGCCCGATGCGGGGGTCAAACTCACAAACCGTGAGATCATGACCTGAGCCGAAGTCAGACACCCAACCGACTGAGCCACCCAGGTGCCCCTGAATAGGGGTATATCTTAACTATCTTTATATCTTATTCCTTAAATGATTGATGAAATGAGTAATAAAAGATTCTAAATTGGCAAGGCACTGTATGCAGTAATTTCCAGGGGAGTAAAGTTAGTCTTTGAATCTCAAATTGACTTAGCGCTGATCTTTTTTGAGGACATAAATAAAGATACCCTTGATTCAGCCCTAAGGCTGGATCCCCAGCTGATAAATGCTGGATGGTAGGGAAAGGGAGAGTAAAGAGAGCCCTAACTGAGGTGGACTTCATTTTACATCCTCAGATTGAGGGATGTAACTGTGTTGAAGGGAAAGGCAAAAATGACACTTTTTTCCCATTTCCCAGAGTGGTTACCCAAAACTTCCATCACTCTGCTCAAGCTTCTCATTCCAGCCCCAACTCTTTCATCAAATAACTCCCACCTTAATGTTACAGAGCCAACACCATCAACTTCCTGCCCCTCCTTACTTTCCCATCCTTTATTGGTTCTCAACCGTCAGCGTTAGTCACCTCAGAAACTTTTTTTTTTTTTAAATACTGATGGCCTGGGCCCTAGTCCCGGTTTATTCAATTGGTCTTGGGTGGAGCAACAGCATTTTTTTTTTTTTAAACTTCTCAGGTTATTCTAACATGCATACAAGGTTGAGATCCACTAGTGCTCCTGAAGCTATCAATCAGCCACCCTTATCCATGAATTGTCCACTTCGAGTTCCACGGTGGACCACTTCTATGCCTAAGTCTCCCATCTTTAAAGAAAACATTCTTGCGGCCCACATTCTCGCCCCTTAACTCTCTCACAATCTTACTATGATGCTTCTTTAAAGGGTAATCTACACCTATCGCTTCCGCCAGCTATATTCTATTCCTCTTTTTACTCTTAACAGCCAGTACTATGATTGGCTTTTGTGCCCGTCATTCTCTCTGCTTGTCTCATGTTTCTCTGACCAGCTACTGCTCACTGGCCTTTTAACACAAGAGTGGCCAAAAGGTCACCTTGGAAAAGGTTTCCCCAAGTCGTTCCACACAAGCAGGGGCCCCTCTTCTATGCTCAAAGAGGACCCTGTGCCTTTTTTTTTTTTTTTATATTATAATTTCACTTTATTACCACTGCGGATTCTCTCAAAGTCTCCCATGTAACACAGCACTTCAGAAAGCTGAAACGGTTTCATTTGCTTCTGACTTCCTGGAGTCTAAAGCACCAGAAAGCACTCAGTGAAAAGTCTGAGGAATGAATGGAAAGCGAGACTAGGAAACGGAGGTCGGGGGCGGGGAAATGCGAGGGGAGAGGGCGTGTGTGTGGGAAGGGGCGGGGGCTAAGAGGGGCGGCGCTGAGAATCCTGCGCCAGAACTGGGGAGGGGGCAAGGACACGTTAAGTCGGCTAGGGCAGCAAAGCAGCTCCCCGACGGGACACACCGCCTTACCAACCAAAGTGGGGAGGCGGCTTCTTACCTGCCTCGGGCCTCACCACCCCAACCAGCCTTCAGGCACCTCAGTATTGGCCGGAAAGCGAGAGCTACAGTCGTAAACTCAGAGTTTTCTACCCCAACCTTGCGACATTCCTCTCTAGTAGAGTGAGAATCTGAGGCAGCGTTCCGAGCTCTGCCGTAAGGTGAGGAAGAAAAGTTTGGGCGGGGCCGCCTGGGGCGGACGAATGGGGCGTGCCCGCGCAAGCGCCAGCCGTTCTCTCCGGCGGCGTCACGTGCGGGGGCAGGGCCGGCAGGCTGGCCGGCTCCGGCAGGCGGTAGGGGGCGTGGGAGGTAAGTGCGCGCGCGCCTGCTCGTCTGCAGCCGAGGAGTCGCTCGGGGCGGGGCCGCGTGCGCGGGGTCGGGGGCGCGCGGGCCTGAGCGGACGAGGGACGCGGCGGCGGTTGGCGGTGGCTGCTGAGGGTACCGCAAGGACTGTGAGAGGCGGCGGAGGAGGCACCCGCGGCACCGGCAGAGGCGGCGACAGCGGCTGAGGCGACGGTCCAACGCGTGCTCTCTGGGCGGGGTGCGGCGGGGGATGTGCCCTCGCGGGCCGGGCGGAGTCTCTCTGACAGGGCGGGGGATGCGCGGCGGCCGCTCTCCCGGACCCTGAGGCAGCTGGGCCCACCCTCCTGGAACCGTTTGACTCTTGGTGGCCTCAGCCTCTGCGGTCTCCGGCGCCCTGACCCTGGGGCCGCGGGTAGGAGGTGGCGTTTCCCGAAGAGGAGGGGGCTGCAGTGGCCACCGCGGCGGAGCCCGAGGTAAGACCCGCCCAAGCCGCCCAGAGGCCCTGCCGCCCGGCCCGGCCCACGTCTCGGTCTCGCTCTTTGGCTCCTTTGGGGCAGCCCCGCCCCAGCGGAGACGCCCCGTGAGCGGGTCTGCCTAGGAGCCTCCCAGACACCAGATCGCAGCGCTGGGTCCCCGGTAGACCCCACCCATCGTATCTTCCATTGGCCAGACACCACTCCGGCCCGCCAGCTCCCGGACGGTTCTGTCACGGCCCCCCATCCCCAGCACAGCCCGTTAGAACCCCCTTCGGACTCTCTTAGGACTCCTCGTGGAGCCTCCAGACTCCGTTACGGCCTCCCGTAAGCTGACCCGGTCACAGTTCCTCTGACACCCAGGCGCGGCCGCCCCCTAACCCAGAGCGACCTTGCAGCCCACCCCTGCCTGCGGACCCCTCCCAGTTCGCTTCCCGTCAACCGTACCCTCCTCGCCTTGCGGATAGTCTGTTCTTGATGCTCTCTCCTCCCAGTGGATCTGGTGTCAGCCCCTCTGTAGACACCATCAGACAGCAGCCTCTCCCCCAGTCCTCTCAGGCAGACCTTGTTATCTTTCTCTTTTCTTTGGTTGGAAGAGTTTTGCCTTTAAATCCTGGAGGGGTGTTTGCTTAACCTAGTGTACTCCCTACCCCCCCCCCCCCCAGTGGGACCTAAGGGGACTAACTGACACCCAAAGGAGGGAGGGGACAGGGAAGAGTGCGGGCCCAGGGCAGGGGTGTGTGTGCTAATATAAGGTCATACAGCCTGCTTCTCATCTTGTCTCTTCTGTAGAACGTGTGAGGTAGTCCAGTCTGACATTTAGGGACCTCTGTAAGAATTAAATCACATTACATTAAGGGATGTGACTGTGTCTCCATGTAGTATCATTTGCTTCCCTTTCTGGAAGATTTTTACACATTTTTTTTGTTTTGTTTTTGAGTGACACAAGGCGATTGTTTTTTGTTTTTTTTTTAACGTGTTTTTTGAATTTTCCGGAAAAATAAGACTTGTGGCTTTCCTTAATCCCTGAAGATTTTAATGTCAATTTAGTAATAAATTTCTGCTACCTGGTGCTGCTCCTTTTCCAAGGAGCAAGTACAGTTATCATGCAGTGTTGACTGATGTCATTACCAATAGCCTTCTCAGCAGTAGTGAAATAGTGAATAAAATCTTGTTTGTGGAAGTTGAACTCCTGAGTTGTCAAGAAGGAAACGTAATGATGCACTAAGTGATCAGTACCTAGGGATGAAGTATATAGTGAGGTTTTTGTAGTTAGTACTTTAAAATTTTTTCTTTTGTGTGTGTGAAACTGAAGCGGGAGAAAATCATATTAAAATTACAGGTAATAACTAGACATAGTATACAAGTCAAAAGGTTCTAAAGAGTATGCAGCAAAACGTTTCTCTTCCCCCTTTATCCTGCAACCACCTGTTTTTACTTTTTAGAGGCAACTACTATTTCCATCTTTATGTGGGTCCTTCCTGTGATTTTTAAATTTATATTCTCAAATATATTCTTAAAATGCACCACAAATGCTTGCAATACTATACACTCTATACCTCCCCTCACTGCCCCTCATTGCCCCTCACTTGATAGTAGAGCCTAGAGCTCATTCAATTAGAGTACATATGGACATGCCACATTCATGGGCTGTATAGTATTCTCTTTTTATGATCTTGACATTATTTTTAGTCTTTGCTTTTACAAACGGTCTCATTTGCTTTTCTTTTAGTGTATCAGCTGTTACATGTATGTTGTAAATAATTATCAGGATTTAAAAAAATTTCCTGATGATTCTTTTGTATTGAACCTACAAAAAAGGATATAACTAAAGTTATCATTGAACCTCCGAGCTTTCACGGAGTGATTCATTAGCTTTGATGGTGATTACAATATTTATCAAATAAGTTATTGAAGGATATAAAGTCGGGGACTGAAATGATCAGATTTGCATTTTTAAAAGGTCACTGGCTGCAGTGAGGAGGGTGGATTAAAGGGTAGTCTAAGGCTAAGGGCAGGAATATTAGGCAAATGATGATAGGGAGTCTGGATTTGGGTATTGGGAGTAGAGAGGACTTGGTGATTTCATTGGATTTGGAATTAGGGAGAAGGTTCATAGAAGATTTAGGTTTCTAGCTTGTGCCCTTCACTGAAGTGGGAATTGATAGAAGGGAGGAATGGGGTTTTTATTTTTGTCAAAAAAGAATTTGTGACAGGTTGGATTTGGGTGATTATATTTCTGTCAGATACTGACGGCCAGGAGACAGCTGGCTTTGTGTCTTAAGCTCATTATCAAATTCTGGATTGATAGTAATAGATTTGGGGGCAAAAGGTATAAATGAGAGGAGAAAAGATTATAGGACAGAAATCCAACATTTACATTACAGATAGAAGTTGAATGTCTAAAGCTAGTAAAGTAAGTGATTAATTTTCTTTAAGTTTGTTTATTTTGAGAGAGAGAGCCCACAAACAAGGGAGTGGCAGAGAGAGAGAGAGAGAGGGTGACATAGAATCTGAAGCAGGCTTCAGGCTCTGAGCTGTTAGCATAGAGCCAGATGCTGGACCCGGCTTGAACTCACGAACTGTGTGAGATCGTGACCTGAGCCAAAGTCAGATGCTCAACTGACTTGAGCCACCCAGCTGCCCCAAGTGATTAAGTTCTTTAAAAAATCTTATTATGGTTTACGTATCAATAGTGAGGTTCACGGTCTAATGTGATGTAATAGTTTTTTCCCTTAGTTAACAATAATGCCTTAGTTTATGAGGGAAATGAGAGTAAAATTAGATTTTTTTAAAGAAGTAAAACCTCAGTAGAAATTAGTACTATAAACCCATCCTTTCTAATCATTTGAATTTTACTATTGCAGATGTTTGTTCAGTCTTCTTTGTTTGTAGAGAAGTGTAGGATATTTGAAAATATGGTTTACCAAGAATAGTGTTTCCTAGTTTGCATGATTTTTTAGTTGTATTAACTTAATTTAAAATAAATATTAGTCAAAAAATTTTGGTTCATGTTTAAAAAATTTTTTTTTAATGTTTATTTACTTTTGAGACAGAGAGACAGAGCATGAATGGGGGAGGGTTAGAGAAAGGGAGACAAAGAATCTGAAGCAGGCTCCAAGCGGTCAGCACAGAGCCCGATGTGGGGCTTGAACTCATGGACTGTGAGATCATGACCTGAGCCGAAGTCGGATGCTTAACCGACTGGAGCCACCCAGGCACCCCTGGTGGTTCATGTTTTAAAATCTAACATTGACTTTTTTTTTTTAATGTTTGTTTATTTTTGAGAGAGACAGTGACAGTGTGAGTGGGAGAGGGGCAGAGAGAAAGGGAGACACAGAATGCCAAGCAGGCTCCAGGCTCTGAACTGTCAGCACAGAGCCCGACGTAGGACTAAACCCATGAACTGTGGGATCTCACATGAACTGTGAGATCATGACCTGAGCTGAAGTCAGACACTCAACCGACTGAGCCACCTAGGTGCTCCCCGACTCTATGTATTTCTAAGTTTAGAGCTGCTGTATAGATCTCTAACTTTGATGATGAATCACTGCTAATGAATTCACTTATGAATTCACTTATGAATCACTGCTTATGGATATCTCCTCTTGGATTCACATTTCACAAGCACTTCAAATGTGTGCAAAATAAAAACTCTTCTCTGCTTCTCTTTCTTCCAAAAAGGCGAGGGGAGAGGGAGACAAACTGCAACAAAAATTTTTGTTTTTTATTTCCTATCTTGGTGAATGGCACCACTCTCCTTGAGAAGTCTTCAGGAACCTGTGAATCATTGTCCACTCTGTACCTTAAACGTTACTAAGTGCTCCACATTCTCCCCCATGATAATTTCATATTTATTGTTGTTTTTGTTGTTTCTATTTTATTTTAACCAGAAATGTCTCTGGTGCTCCTGTAATGTGTTCTAAGGAGTCTTGTTGCTTTCTCTTTTCTGCCTCTTGTTTTGTCTTACCCTCCAATTCATTCTCTGCACTGCTGCCAGATTAGGTGTTCTAAAATGCTCTTTTAGTTAGAGTCTTTCATTTGCAAAGAGACTCAAGTTACAGTAAGTAGTGGAGTGCTTTTTAAAAGGAAACATGCAGAAAGGGAACCTAAGAAAAGTTAAACACCTTGGTCTCAAGAAGAACAGGAGTTTAATAAATAAAACTAAAAGCAGAAAAATACATATTTCACTCCTAGTGCTCTGTGGTTAATGTGTCTTAGATACTTTTACGATTTCTCTTTTTTTCTCCCTACTCCAGTTTTTCCTCTCACAGCTTCCCTTTATTCCCAATTTATGCCTCCTTATAACTACTGTGTTACTCCTGTGCCAACATTT